TGACAAATACACATATGGAAACAGAGAAAGCCATATGCACGATTTAACAAACTCCTGGTGAAATTAACCTCTGATTTTCTTAATTTAAAGGAAAATAAAACAATGGTAGTCATGCTAGGCAGACATGTCTAAGTGTACGACATATGGTAAACAGTCAGGCATAGACATGAAGAATATTGTGATAATTTAAACATGTTATGAGCAAAAATATGTTCCACACTTTAAAGTAGTAAGCTACAGTTGCAAGAAAAAGTATGTGAACCCTTTGGAATGATATGGATTTCTGCACAAATTGGTCATAAAATGTGATCTGATCATCATCTAAGTCACAACAATAGACAATCACAGTCTGCTTAAACTAATAACACACAAAGAATGAAATGTTGCCATGTTTTTATTGAACACACCATGTAAACATTCACAGTGCAGGTGGAAAAAGTATGTGAACCCCTAGACTAATGACATCTCCAAGAGCTAATTGGAGTGAGATGTCAGCCAACTGGAGTCCAATCAATGAGATGAGATTGGAGGTGTTGGTTACAGCTGCCCTGCCCTATAAAAAACACACACCAGTTCTGGGTTTGCTTTTCACAAGAAGCATTGCCTGATGTGAATGATGCCTCGCACAAAAGAGCTCTCAGAAGACCTACGATTAAGAATTGTTGACTTGCATAAAGCTGGAAAGGGTTATAAAAGTATCTCCAAAAGCCTTGCTGTTCATCAGTCCACGGTAAGACACATTGTCTATAAATGAAGAAAGTTCAGCACTGCTGCTACTCTCCCTAGGAGTGGCCGTCCTGTAAAGATGACTGCAAGAGCACAGCACAGACTGCTCAATAAGGTGAAGAAGAATCCTAGAGTGTCATCTAAAGACTTACAAAAGTCACTGGCAAATGCTAACATCCCTGTTAGCGAATCTACAATACTTAAAACACTAAACAAGAATGGATTTCATGGGAGGATACCACAGAGGAAGCCACTGCTGTCCAAACAAAACATTGCTGCACGTTTACAGTTTGCACAAGAGCACCTGGATGTTCCAGCACTACTGGCAAAATATTCTGTGGACAGATGAAACCAAAGTTGAGTTGTTTGGAGGAAACACACAACACTATGTGTGGCGAAAAAAAGGCACAGCACACCAACATCAAAACCTCATCCCAGCTGTGAAGCATTGGCGGATCCAGGGGGGGGCAACGGGGCAATTGTCCCCCCCGAGATTCTCCCCTGCTGGCTAACGCAGGGCTGGCATTGCCCAAGTGCCAGCCCTGCAATGTGCCTGCGGACCAGGGAGGGAGATCACAGATCTCCCTCCCCGGTCCGCAGGCACCGTGCTGACAGCCGGCGGCGGAGGGAGGGAGTGAGAGAGAGGACCCGGAGCTCAGTCTGCAGCTCCTCCGGGTCCTCCTCTCTAGAGATTTGGAGCGTTGCCGCGGTTACCACGGCAACGCTCCAAATCTCGCGAGAGTGAACTCTAGCCCTGGAGCGTGGGCTAGAGTTCACTCTCCCCACTGGGACCACCAATGAATCCCCCACCGGACCACCAGGGAAATGTCCCCCCTCCTCCTAAATAAAGGTAAGAAGGGAGGGGGGACATAGAATATTTATTTTATTAAATAAAACATTTTTTTATTATTAAAAAGCCTCCTTCCCCCCGCCATTACACACACACTGCCCCCCACACACACACACTGGGGCAGTGTGTACACAACAGGCTTTTTAATAATGCATTTTTTGTTTATTTAATAAAATAAATATTCTGCCCCACAAACACTGTCCCCATACACATACTGCCCCCCATACACACACTGCCCCACAAACACTGTTCCCATACACACACTGCCCCCCATACACACACTGCCCCACAAACACTGTCCCCATACACACACTTCCCCCCATACACACACACTGCCCCACAAACACTGTCCCCATACACACACTATACACACACTGCCCCAAAAACACATACAGTGCCCCCATACATACACTGCCCCCTAACACACACACTACAACCCTGACATACACTGCCGCACTCACACACTTCACCCTTAACACACACCACTGCTCCTATACCCTATATCCCAGCAGACCCCAAGTAAGTTGTCAAACTGTTCTTAAACGGTATGACTACTTACTCTGGGGTGGAATCCTGGCACTACTGACACCATAACTACTACACTGAGCTGTAGTGGTTATTGTGCCTGGATTATTTATTTAAATAATCTACAAGTGCCCCTCTCGAGATCAGGCTCTGGATCCGCCACTGCTGTGAAGTATGGTGGTGAGGGCATCATGGTTTGGGGCTGCTTTGCTGCATCAGGGCCTGGACGGATTGCTATCATCGAAGGAAAAATTAATTCCCAAGTTTATCAAGACATTTTGCAGGATAACTTAAGGCCACCTGTCTACCAGCTGAAGCTCAACAGAAGATGGGTGTTGCAACAGGACAATGACCCAAAGCATAGAAGTAAATCAACAACAGAATGGCTTAAACAGAAGAAAATACGCCTTCTAAAGTGGCCCAGTCAGAGTCCTGACCTCAACCGATTGAGATGCTGTGGCATGACCTCAAGAAAGCGATTCACACCAGACATCCCAAGAATATTGCTAAACTGAAACAGTTCTGTAAAGAGGAATGGTCAAGAATTACTCTGCAACTACAGGAAATGTTTGGTTGAAGATATTGCTGCCAAAGGAGGTTCAACCAGTTATTAAATCCAAGGGTTCACATACTTTTTCCACCTGCACTGTGAATGTTTACATGGTGTGTTCAATAAAAACATGGCAACATTTCATTCTTTGTGTGTTATTAGTTTAAGCAGACTGTGATTGTCTATTGTTGTGACTTAGATGATGATCAGATCACATTTTATGACCAATTTGTGCAGAAATCCATATCATTCCAAAGGGTTCACATACTTTTTCTTGCAACTGTATGTGTTAAACAAGTAAACACAGGGAACATACCTGGAAAAGTGTTATAGCTTTGTCCTACTGTAGTGAGATTCTCTGGTGTAGCATCGGCAAGAAAAAGAAAATCAACACAAAGCTAAAAGTAATACATAACAGCGTAAACATTAGGAATCATCCAATGCTCGAAACAGGTAAGCTCTCAGCTAGCAGGTAGTGATAGTTGGCTATGTCAGTACATATGTGCCAAGATATGCCCTCCTCCCACCCCTTGCCTGCACAATGGCCATCACCACTAAGCCACGTACCCGGGTTCTTTGGCCCCGTCCAAGTCCTCTTCCTCAGAAGGCAAGGGGTAACGGAAGTCCCGGATGGTCTAAGGCTTATATCTGCCACTGGTCCTCCGCCTGTATGGCCATGTCATGGTGGCAAGCCCCCTTTTGCCCTCAGTCTGTGTATACATACAGTGAGGGAAAAAAGTATTTGATCCCCTGCTGATTTTGAACGTTTGTTCACTGACAAAGAAATGATCAGTCTATAATTTTAATGGTAGGTGTATTTATCAGTGAGAAACAGAATAACAGCATCAAAAATCCAGAAAAACGCATGCCAAAAAAGTTATAAATTGATTGTCAATGAGTGAAATAAGTATTTTTTCCCCTATCAATCAGCAAGATTTCTGGCTCCCAGGTGTCTTTTATACAGGTAAAAACTAAGATTAGGAGCACTCTGTTAAAAGGAGTGCTCCTAATCTCAGCTCGTTACCTGTATAAAAGACACTTGTCCACAGAAGCAATCAATCAGATTCCAAACTCTCCACCATGGCCAAGACCAAAGAGCTGTCCAAGGATGTCAGGTACAAGATTTTAGACCTACACAAGGCTGGAATAGGCTACAAGACCATCGCCAAGCATCTTGGTGAGAAGGTAATAACAGTCGGTGCGATTATTCGCAAATTGAAGAAACACAAAATAACTGTCAGTCTTTCTCTGTGTGGTGCTCTGTGCAAGATCTCACCTCGTGGAGCTTCAATGATCATGCGAATGGTGAGGAATCAGCCCAGAACTACACAGGAGGATCTTGTTAATGATCTCAAGGCAGCTGGGACCATAGTCACCAAGAAAACAATTGGAAACACACTACGCCGTAAAGGACTGCAATCCTGCAGCGCCCGCAAGGTCCCCCTGCTCAAAAAAGCACATGTTCAGGCCTGTCTGAAGTTTGCCAATGAACATCTGAATGATTCAGATCAGAAGAGAACTGGTTGATAGTGTTGTGGTCAGATGAGACCAAAATCAAGCTTTTTGGCATCAACTCAACTTGCGTGTTTGGAGGAGGAGGAATGCTGCCTATAACCCCAAGCACACCATCCCCATCTTCAAACATGGAGGTAGAAACATTATGCTTTGGGGGTGTTTTTCTGCTAAGGGGACAGGGCAACTGCACCGCATCAAAGGGACGATGGACGTGTACCATCAAATCTTGGGTGAGAACCTCCTTCCCTCAGCCAGGGCATTGAAAATGGGTCATGGATGGGTATTCCAGCATGACAATGACCCAAAACACACAGCCAAGGTAACAAAGGAGTGGCTCAAGAAGCAACACATTAAAGTCCAAGAGTGGCCTAGCCATTCTCCAGACCTTCTGTTCGAGTTGCCAAACATCAGCTTCAAAACCTTAATAACTTGGAGAGGATCTGCAAAGAGGAGTGGGACAAAATCCCTCCTGAGATGTATGCAAATCTGGTGGCCAACTGCAAGATATGCCTGACCTCTGTGATTGCCAACAAGGGTTTTGCCACCAAGGGATCAAATATTTATTTCTCTCATTGACATGCAAATTAATTTATAACTTTTTTGACATTCGTTTTCTGAATTTTTTTTTTTTTTGTTATTATGTCTCTCACTGTTAAAATACACCTACCATTAAAATTATAGACTGATCATTTCTTTGTCAGTGGACAAATGTTCAAAATTAGCTGGGAATCAAATACTTTTTTCCCTCACTGTATGACGTGAGTGTCAGACATTAGAGCACGTGTGATGCCAGAGGGGGCCCTCTTGATTCTTCACCACAGCTTCTCCACTCACCTCCTCTTGGTGGACGGTGTGATGCCACCAAACGAGCTTCCAGACGAGTGCAAAAATGGTCAAATATAACATCCAATGATACTTGGACCATGTTGTAATGTGCAGATATCTCTGTGCCTTCAGAGATCCTGCTCAGTGATAAAGGAGTGCTTGCTCCTGCCAGCTCAGCCAGATCAGGCCTCTCTCCAGTGGCCATTTTGGGACACATGAGGCAGGGCCTGCTTGGTCTTCTGGCCTTAGGTAGGTTGGCATTCCAGTTGGGACTGGGATATCCCCCACTGGTCCAAAGGGGGGTAACGGTGCTGTTAACAAGCTGCAGCCAGCCCTGCTCAATGGGTAGGGAGATCGGCGACCCCTCCCTTTTGCCAGGCATGTGAGGCCAATCCAAATCGGATGGTGTCTGTGTTGTTTGAGGGTAAGTTAGCTGGTGCCAGAGGTTTCTAAAGCTGGGAATACAGAAATGCCAGTATTCCAGCTGTTTATGTCCTCTTTTAGCCTGGCTGTCTTGTACGTCAATCCCCACCCTCTTAGTTTTTTGCTTTTTAATGCTTGCAATATATGTGTTAATATTTTTTATCTAATGTTTTCTCTTGTTACATGGTTAAAATATATAATTAAGTGTTTTTTTTCAAAATATTTAATTATCAAAAAACATATACTATATGGAACAAAATCCCCAAATATCAAAAAACTAAAGTATCACAAAATTTTAATATGTTTGATAATATTAAATAGTTTAAAACATTTATCCAAAAGTATTAAATCTAGGCCTTATTGTTAGAGTGAAAGTTGTTAAAAATAAGTGGATTGGTGAACTGGTCTTTTCCTCAACACATCCTACATATCATGAATATAAGGCCTGATTAGGTACCTAATTACTTTGGAACACCACAGCACCAGAGTAGCTGATAGGAAATAAAGTCATTTGATGCACTTTTTTGCTTTGTAAAGAGCTTGTCCAAATATAGATGACATTGACATTGATAATGCTAAAGTTTAACTTCCACAGTTGCACGGTGAGCAGAGGTCTGGGTCATTGTGGCCTATGGAACACTCAGTTTGTTTCAAACATCTCAAAATAGTTTGACACTGAACCAGGGAACAAACACTAGTGGTGTTCTTCAATAAAATGTAGTGTTTATGGCCCTTAGAGTGTTCTTTTAAACTTGACCGATGTCACAAATTATATGACCCAGGACACAGGATTTAGGCCTCACTTTGGCAGAAATACAATTAGTAAGATTTGTATTACCACTCTTTAGAGTTGTCTGGGCTTAATTATACAGAAGACAAGAGTGAATGGTCAAGGCCAAGGGCAATAGACAGAGAAAATAATGACGGAACTAGCCAAGATCAAAGATTACAGAAAACGGGGTAGACAGAAACAAGCTAAGGTCAGATATCAGGGAATCAAAACACACAATAAACACACTCTTGGGTGGCCTATACAATAGACTAAAAGCTCAAAAACAGATTTATTGTCAGAAATTGACCATGCACTTTTCAAGTCAGGAAAAAAACTCCTCATAAATAAATAAATATATATACAGTGTATATTTGAATATTGAATTTAGTTTGAGATTTACCCTGTGACCTAATAATATATATATATATATATATATATATATATATATATATATATATTCTGACAGAGTGCAAGGCATTGTCATGTATGGAGTTTTTATATCGCCAAAAGTATTGGAATATTGTGAATTAATTGCCCCAGGAAGAAGGTCTGTTTAAGTTAGAGCATTTTTGTAATTTAATATGTGTTCCTTGGGTGGAGCATTTGGAGTGAAGGGAGGGCCAGTGCTCCACTCCACAGTTTACATGTAGCACAGCAGGTGAGCAATCCAATTCAGGCGTTCTGGATCACCCAGATAGTTGTTCACCTGTTGGCAATAATAAGCACAGGACTGCTATAAAATTTCCCTGTCAGGGATTCACAGAGAGAAGGACAAGCACAGTGTGAGACTGCATTTCTCTCTACAAGAGTCTTCATGTACTGAAAGGGAAAATAAAGATTTATTTAAAAAGGTCTGTGCTCAAATTTGTGTTTTTGCATTGTTGGCACTTGGTAAGCCGCCCAATAACAGTTAGTAAAAAAAAACCTGTGAGTTAGTGCTCAGAAGAGTAAGGTTTTTTTGTTTGTTTGTTTTAGTTTTGTTTAATTGCCAGACCCCTTAATAAAGAAATATAACTTGTGTGGTGTTCCTGTCATTAAGACTATGTGGTTATATGGTCCCAGGTAACAATAGATATATATTTTTATTTTTTTCCTGAGAATTTATTTCTAACCAGAATAGTTTATGGTCTACTTCTGATAAAAAATGGGTGTGGGCATGAATCATTAATCTGTTTTTGAGATTTCTACCTATTAATGTAACTTTACAGGTTAACAAGATTGCAGGAATGACATGGAAGAATGAGGACCAGAAATGATGCAGAACATCCTTTTATCATATATGGAAGAAAGGAGGCAGCATTCAATATGCTGCCCAGAGGAAACCTGATTGGGGTCCATACATGTAGCATGCTTGAGAATGTCAGAATGCTGTGCCAATCTTGTATGGTTCTGTGACAACCACTTAATGAGAGGTAAAGGGCCCATTTATTGCAGAAAAAGCCCCCAAAAATATTGCTTAAAGGGACACTGTAGTCACTATAAACACTTTGTCTCTTTGAATTGGTTATAGTGCCTGGAGTGGCCTGGCACTGTCCCTCCATTCAGTGTTGCACCATGTTTGTGCAGTATGCCACAGAATAAGAGTCCCTGGCCACCCACAGTCCGGCCCCTTCTGTATGTGTAGCTAAGGCAGAGATTACACACTTCCTTGTTGTCATACCCATTCATACCATCAGTTGGAGCTCTGACAGGTTAAAAACAGTCAGCTGACACTCTCAGCCAATCACAGCTGCCCATTGCCTCTCAGGGTAATACTTCCTTATTAGCCAAAGCAGCACAGAGGGGATAGACTGCCGTGGACTCTTGTTTAGCATTAAAACATTACAACATTAAAAACTGTTTAATGCTGAAAGAAATGATGGTACCAGGGGACTCCAGACACTATAACCAGTTTATTGAGATGAAGCAGATACAGTGCCTACGGTGTCCCTTTAAAGGAATCAGAAACATTATTAAAAGCTCATCAGATAGACTGTGAATTTGATCTATATTTGAACAAAGTTTAATGATATGCAATTTATGTGAAGATACTTTAATTATTATTCCAAGTAAAATAATGTCTTTTGAAATTGTTCAGTAAGTTATCACCCAGCACATAAACATTATTTATTTACTGATAGTAGTATTTTAATCTACCAATTACAGAAGTACCATTCAACCAAATTCTTACTCGTATTTGTCTATTTATTAAATGATTTATGTTCACTTAAGGGGCAATGCCCCTCCTGTAGCTATTCAGTTAAAGTACAATTGGATAACCACAATTAATGTCCTTCAGTTTCCACTGTATGTACATACAAGAACATGCAAGATTCACTTTAAAGAAATGTATCATCTCAATAAAAAACATGACAGGCAGATATAGCTCACACCAGGCAAACAAACATGTTATTGAACACACCTACAGTACATCAACAGACACAGCATATTTAGATTTTAGATTTGGTGTACATGCCAGTTAACATGATTAGTACTTAAAGCTACCGTATAAAATTGTTCAGTTCCTTTCGAGAATCTTAGCTTGTGTCAGGACAGTAACACCTACAGTAGTCATTTATCATGTCCTGTCAAATTATATTTTTCTCTCTTACCTATCATTGCATAACATACTAATGTTATTTAAAATGCATTGTGATGATAACTCTCATAGGGGTCGTGCGAAAAAGATTAATTATGTTTCACTTTGTTGTTTCACAAGAGATTATGACGAAAGTATATTTTCAGAAGAATAGTACTGGTTTTGACTGGCTCAATCCAGCAAGAACAGAGAACACATTCAATAAGAAGTATTTTAATGAGACTTAATATTTTTGTATAGATTGATGTTGGTACCAAGATTTGATGTCATGCATGCTACAATGTATGGGGTAAACAAAATACTTTGCTTGAAAGATAGCTGTGATAACATTTTTGCAAATGTAAACCTGCTTACATGCCGTAAGTCAAAGCATTGACAGAAGGTTGTTTTACTTTATGATGCCATAGCAAATTTCTACGAATTTCTCAATTCAAATTATCCTACTAAATAGGACCAGACAATGCCCAGTGCCCTTATCTGAAAGGGTTTAAATTCTTCCTATGGCAAGAGGTCTTCTAGCCACCAACCCAACCAAAATCCCAAACCCCAATAAGTAAGCTCTAACTGCTTCCCCTCGTTCTAATAAATATGGAGAACTAGCCACATAACCTAATGAAATAAAAAAAAGAAATAAACAGTTCATATATATCTTTCAAATGCTTACTTGAAAATATCTTGTTTCTTCAGCCAAAATAAAAATCCATTATAATATACAGTGTTATTCACTAAACTCTGGATTTTGTCTGACCTGACAAAATACAGTGAAAATCATCGAATTCCAACCTCATTGAGATATCACATATTTACTAAAGCCACATGTGGTCATGATTCAGTTGGTTTAACCAATTCTGTATCTTTCATTCAGAATGATTAGAAAAATCAGTAATATTCACATGCGAGCCACTACAGAGCATAGGATTTGGACATTTATCAATGACCACATGCCAACCAATTATAAACCAAACACATCTGCCAACATGTACACCTGCAAAACAGTCATAGTAAAAGTCCCCTGTAGTAATATGGTTGTCTTATTGACCCCATAGACTTTTTATGTATTTATTTTTATATTTTTTTTTATTCTTCTAATGTGGCGGCTGGTTTTCTAACAATTTGCCCACTGGGTACTGATTTGAAATCTCTGGGCCCGCATTTGGTCTGGATTAGAATCATTTGGTGGTCCATTCAAGCCCATTCAATTGCAAAATCCGGACATTGTTAAATTGCATAAGCTATGTCCAGTATTTTTCAATCTGTATTATCCCATACATCAGCTAATGCTTTTGCCATGTGGCCAAATGGTATTTAGTGAATTAACCTGATAATGTTTTTTTGTCCCTTAACCCTGTAAAGCTAATTATTGCAGTTTTTTTACAGTATTAATATCAGAGATCTGAGCATCTCCAGGTTCTTATAATATTATTAATCTCCA